ATCTGCCATTTATATTAAATTATTTAATTTTAACTTTTTAATTACCGACGTTTCCGGTGCTTTACAGCACCCATTGTCTCGGCGGAGACTGAGGTGCTTGACGTCCCAATGTCACAGTTAGCCCGGCTACCTTCAGTGTTTTAATATTAATTTTTAGCTTTTCAAGATAAAACATCTTCCATCCGAAATCTTGATATATCATATTTTCATTGGTCACACTGTGTATAGAAAAGAGAAACATACCAACCGATATTTAAATGGTGAATCTTATTACCAATCATCACAGTTACCCACCGTGGGAAAATCTTTGTTCCAAAGAGCACAGGGATCTATGACATAAAAAATCTGGCCACCGAACTTCAGCACATCAAGCAAGTACTGTAAGACAACCAGCTTCAGGTCCTGCGCCTATCACTGGTACCTGTTGTGCTTGTTGTTGTTGTGTAAGAAGACTGAGCATTACTGCCCACGGTGTCCTCAACATCAAAAAAGTAATTTACTTCTACTGTCAGTCTGTCTATTGTGGAGCGGCACAAGCCATTATAATATTGGCTGTTGTCGAAAGTTTGGTTGCTAAACCAATTTGTAATCATGGAAACCATCTTTTACATACTCCAAATAAACGTTCCACTGAATTTATTGATTTTATTTACACCTTATTATATCTATCCTCTTGTGCAGTTCTTGGATTTGAAAATGTAGTCAATAAATGTCTAAAGTAAAGAACTCTTTATTGTTAACAAATTAGTGATATTGTAGTGAGATATTTGTGATGCTTTGAAGACCACATGGCACATAGTATTGATATAATTATAGTTTAATCGTTTATGAATAAAAAATTACTATATTATTTACTTCCCAGTGGAAAGTTATTGTAATGGGTCCGATTTTGCAAATAGGAAATTTTAACATATCTCCAGGTTCAAGGTCTTTAGAGTCGAATAGTATGGTTTTTATGAGGATGTCCGTGTATGCACATGTACGTATGTATGTATATGTACGTATGTTCGGATTCAATTTTCACCTCGTGTATCTCGAGAACAAAGAGCGATATCGACATGGGAGCAGTTTTATTTAACGCATAATTATGTAACTTAGACCTCATTAAAATTTGAGCAAAATCGGTTAAGTCGTTTTTTGCGCTGAATGAAAAATTGTATAAAATATTAAAACATATGATATTTTTTTATTCTTTTCACTGGGAAGTTAGTCGTGTGGACCTTTCGGGTCGCACCTAGACCGCTTTTTTATTATTTACCTAGTGCAAGGATATCCTCCATCTGCAAGTAACACCCCATAAATTTCATTATTACGTAACCTTTTATTTAGTTGTGAGTTTCTAAATATTCGGATATCATATGTGCTGCCAGGCCAACGAACTACTATATCATATATCATCAAATTAGGACCACCAACTACTTGCACATTCAAAGAAAAATAACCTTTTCTATTCCGGTACTGCTCTGTATGAAGAATATACCTCTAGGCTTGGTGATTTTATTTATTATTTATTTATTTAAACTTTATTGCTTACTAAAAAGGATTACAAAGTACGGAATTAATGCCTTTAGGTATTCTCTCCCAGTTAACCCGGATTTTAATGCGGGTGCAATCAATTGCTCCTACAATATTTTTCAGTCCAGGTGCTCTGCCGATGCAACCAAGCTTTTCAAAATCATACTTTGTATTCCTCAAATTTAAAGGAAACTTAATAAAATCTGGCATTAGCAATGCCAATATTCTTCATTATATTACACACCTAAATAAAAAATAACCCCAAATAAAAAAAGAAAAAGGTGAACTGCAGCATAATCAGTTGTAAAAAGTAAAAACTCATCAAGGACGTGTAATTCAACTACTATAGGCATAACATTTCACCGGTAAGTTGATTATTTACTCATTATCTTTGTTTTAACTAACTTACATCTAGATGAATAATTTACTATAGTATGATATTGTAATGTGAAACATTATATATCAATGTGCATTGCGTATGTTTATAATACGGTAAGATGTGGCGAAATCGGTCGGAGTAGTAGTTAGTTAGTTAGTAGTTACTTATGTAATTACTTTTACTCAAGTAATTACTTTTACTTATTTATAAACACGGTCGAGTGTGTGCCTGCCTATACTACCGTACGTTAGAGGCTACATCTTGAAGAGTGCTTCCATTGAAACCTACTACAAGCCGCAGAAGAATTTTAGTAAATTTTTACCATCCGTCAAGTAATATCTCTCTACAACATGCAGGAGTTTACAACCTTTGTTGTGAATCTGGTCTCTCTTACATAGGACAAAGAAAAGGATCTATAAAAACCCACCGACGCTGCGGGAAGTCATCTCCGCCGTTACATTAGCAAATATATAGCAAATCGCAAACAAATCTTAGCAAAAGAACACAAATTTCTCAAGGATGATTTCCGAAGCTATTAAAATTAAACAAATCATCCAAATTTCAAAAAAGAAGATGGATGGATACTATCATCTACTTGAGACCTTATTATTAATAAAATTAAATCCAAACCCAAGTATACCACCGCAAGACTTCAAGATACTGTAAACTCGTTCTGCGTTTAAATTTAAAGTTAAAGTTACAGCATATATACGTCCTACTTGCTGGGTCTATGTAACTATGCATTATGCCTCCTCTCATTTATGGACGGGTTTTAGGGCAAGTAAATGTCCGCCGCGCCCTCCAGTGCGCGTTTACGAAATTCAAATGTCTTCGAAATATATGCTTATCTTTCAGACATGCAGTTTTCCGCACGATGCTTTAATTCATCATCGAGCACGTGGTAATTCAGTACTTAAAATTGCAATTAACATTTTCATTGGTGTTGGCGGGGATCAAATCCGTGTTGCTCGCGTATTGTGAAATTTACATCGAACGCTCAGCCTTTTAGTAGCTCCACAGCTGTTCTGCGTAGATTGGATCAAAAATTAATATTAAAAACGGAAAGTAGCCAATCCAGCTATGCTACATCGGGACGTCAGACACCTCAGTCTCTCCCGTGATCATGTGTGCTGTAAATCACCCATAACGTCGGATATTAAAAGGTTAAAACCAAAGGCGATATAATACGTAAAATTATTTTTATTTAATGTGTAGTGTTCGCGTATAAGAAATCATAATAGTTTTATATTAGAAATATTTTTTTATAAAAGCAAAAATAAGACGTAACATTTGCTAGTTAAAAATTATTGTATTAATGCATTAATTTCAATTTTAAAGTACTAAATTGAAGTTTTGTCAGTTTTGAAATTATCGATAGTTTATCAATAATTAGCGATATGCAAAATAATTATTTTACGTGTAAAGGCTCCATTAAAAGTTTTACACTCCTGCGTAGCGACTATTCACCTCGTCGTATATTTTACTACCTATATCTTTCGTAGGCGAATTCCGGCAGTATGTGTGGCGATTACCACATAGAATCCCAGATATACAATCTTTTCAAACATACAGGTTAACGGTAAAATTCTTTTCAAACATACAGGTTAGAGTTAAAGGTGAATGGCGTCTAAATTAGTGGTAGCAAGTTAAGTCATCATTAAACCAAAGATATCATGGATTTTAAAGCTAAAATTCCTATAGTTTTCCGATTTAGAATATGTTTTAGCAATGATGGAGCTTTTCTTTTCCGTAAGAATGGAATCATTGTTATTAAAAGGCTCATTCTATTGAATCATCATGTATTTGAATTGAATTCAACTAGCGAAAAATGTAATTTTCAAAATAAATAACATTTTCACTTGTTGCATTTAACCAATTATTGGATTTTGTTATACTTGTAATAATAAGTAATTCTGCGAACGGATTAATCCCGGTTAGCTTTTTGTTTGATCAAAGGCGACTGGGACTTTATGACCCAAATGCAGAAGTCGGTGCTCTTCGACACCCCGAATCATCCACCGGTTTCTTTTCCTTAACCTCTCCAGTCCGTTGGTCTCCACTGCCGAAGGCTTCAATCTGGTTGGGTTTTTATTTACATAGTTAACTATATTTTCTACATGGTCTTATATCCAAAATGTATTTTATTTTATCTTATTTATCATTTTTATATATGAAATCGCATTCCAACCAGACGAGAATTATATATTATAAAAAAATCAAGACCTCATTCTTTTCAATTGTTCGACTAAAATCGAAATAGTTTTGTATTATATAACTAGCGACCTGCTCCGGCTTCGCCTGAGTGAGATTTATTATTGTGGCGTCGTCTATAACCACTATTTTATCAAGTTTTCCCTATCCCAAAAAGAATAATCGGATAAAATATATTCAAGATGACTTTTGGTATTGCGCTCTATCTATCTGTTTGTAAAGTTTCATAACAATCTTTTCAGTCATCAAGTAGTCAATCTTCGAAAGATTAGCGCGAGCAGCCAGACAGACAGACCAAACTTTTACAAATGGTGGTGTCTTGTTTTGTGAAAACCCTTCAATTTTATTTGTATGTTGTGTTGCCGTTTAACTTGTTAACTATAAAACGTACCATAGTAATAGGTAGGTTAGGTTACCTTAAGATTTCAAGCTGTGTTTTGGTAATGCGAAATGGAAATTTATTTAAGTTATCGCTTCATAATATTCTTTAATTATTACTAGAAAACTTCTTAGTATCTTCATTAGCTAAACTTATATAGCTTGAAAAATTTGAAAGGATAAAATTAAGGTTTTAAGTAAATATTGTACAAATATTGATAAAGTAAAATAATTAATGAATATGGTCTGTATATTATATTATTATTGTGTGCATACAAAACGGCAGCTGTGACCGGGATAGATCAGGCGTTGCCCCGTCGCCGACGCCTCGTCGACCCATATATTCCGCCTCGCATATCCCAAAATATCGAAACTATTTACACGCTTATTATATTTCATTTTTATCTCGCAAAATTAAATTTAAATAGGTAACTGTTTGCCATTGCAATAAAGTTTGAATATTACATTATAGCAACGATTAAATAATAAAAAGCAGAAGTGAAATACTCGTACTTACCTTTTCTTTATATAGTATTCAGTGTTCAGCGGCGTTCGACATGCGAAATATTAATGTATGCACTTTTAATTTGGCACAAACAATGCATCATATGGATTCTAATAAATCACAAAATAACTACAGGTATAAAATTACGCAAATATCTAAGCTTCGAAAGAAACACTCGCGAGGGTTAGGGCTCCGGTCCCGGAGCGGCGGCGCTCCGCACGCGAGTTCCACTGGCCGCTAGGTAGCTAATCGTGCACCCTATCTGGACGAAATTGACAGTGCGAAGACGCGTGCGCCGCCAGTCTCTATTTCTGTCCGCGGCCGCGTTGCCCTGATTTCACTAAAATTACGATCCGGTGCTATTTCCGCACTCACTCATGCGCCCTCTTGCCGGCAGTTAAGCGTCTCGCGAATAAGTTTCTATTAGATATGAGCTTGGGCACATGATTGCTTTCATCAAAACAATTAATCTAAAACGAATAAATTCAGGCGATATTCTCGATTACGAATTCAATTTGTAACTTTATTTCCGTTTGTAATTAGTTACAAACGAAGTTGTACTCATTCTTTTAGCATTAGTATTTACACCCTTTAGTTCAACGGATACTAAGAAGACGATTTGAATTATTTTGAAGCATTTCATCTTAGGTCACAGAGATGACATCTCATCTGTATTCTCTTTGCATTTACCGTTAGGTTTTAGCTGGTTAGTCAATTAAATGTTTTCATTTGGTTCCTAGACACAACCAAAAATAAGTATGATCAATGTTTAGTTATCTCTGTACTAACACCTCATCTCGTCGCTTGGATGTACTTACATCGACCGACACGAAATCGTTGTCGACAGATTCGCCCGCCCCTGCTTGGACGATGGTTAGGTAATTCATCTGTACACTCGTTTATCTGTTAAGATAGGAACATACTACAGGAGATCTGACGTTCAGTCACGAAATGAGCCATTATTATCATCATCATCACCCCTATTTATAAAGCCCTTACGGCACTAACATTTTAGGAAAAAAGTATATAAATATACCTCGGATGTGGTAAGAGGCGGCTGTGTGAAATATCATTATTTTAAATGGCCATACCAGCGTCGCAAAGCAGCATCAAAGTTATGAGGCGACAAAGGTCTGGTAATATACCGTTAACCGTGTAAATAAGTGGCTATACCAGCGTCGTAAAGCAGCATCAAAGGTATGAGGCGACAAAGGTCTGGTAATCTATGACAGATTGTTTTTAACTATGCTATCTTTGTTAAAATACTAGCCTAGGTAACTATAAGACGCTCATTAATTTTAATCTATCTATTATTCGTGCCGATTACGGTTAATCCTACTCATGGGGTAGGCTAATATCCAGCAACAAATTGTTTTAAGACTAATGATGTGATACTAAATGTCTATTGGAAAATTTAATGGATTCTCCACACAATTTAAAATCTTCCACTGATTAACTGACTCATCACGAGATCTCTAAAACTATACACCCGATTGACTTGAAATTTAGTGTAGTTACTCATTTCGTAATGTAGGCGCTCACTGAGAACAAATTTTACGGTTGTCTCATCAAAAAAAATTCTAGGTTTTCTTGATATTTTACATTTAGGGTCCGCAATAAAATATTATCGTAAGTCCAGCGAAGCGAGTGGGTACGAGCTAGTAAAATTATATTTATAAAGTAGACTCTATTACTTTTTATTTCTATCCTTTATGGTAGCAAATATAGTAATTTTCATTAAAATTGTATCGTTTTTGTAACCCACAAAACCACCAAAGTAGTACTCTGAACTCCCAAGATAAAACGCTGTATTAGTTTGGAAAGCAACGAAAAAAATTTAATAGGCAATGATTGCTAGGTGGATAATAAATAAAATAAAAAACTTTCAGACTGGAACACAGTATAGTATAAGTACTACTTTTTGGCCGCGCAAATAGGTTTCAGGAAACAATATCTCTGGGGGTTTTAGCGTCCACATCATTTAATCATTGCGTATATGTTGCCCGAGGAAATAGATGGTGCTAATGAAGTGAACTATAGAAATAAAAACAGAATATTTTTTTTAATTAATATACGAGTTATAAATAATACTTATTTAAAGACATTTAATTTACCAATGGTTCGTAAAATACCTCTGTCCTGGGAAGAATTAGTGGGAAACTTAGCGGGGCTTTCTTTTAAATAAAAATATACAATCATATATGTTACACAATTAACAAAAATTAGCAACAGAAAACAAATTAGAAATATAGGTTGGTAGCAATCGCCTCATTTCTAGGGGTTATTATTATCCATAAATTCTTTAATATTAAAATAACCCTTTTTATACAAAGTTTTTGAAATTTGAGTAGGTCAAATTTTGTTTATTTACTAGGATTTTGTTGTAAAAGCGTATATGTACAGCAATCACCCCAAGAACGAATTACTGACCCGGTGGAGTCGAGTAACTGGTACGCTACGCTACACTCATCATACAAAATTTACTTTGGTATTCTGTGAGACAAGCAACGCCGTTAGGAGTGTATACGCAGGCATGAAAATAAATGCCATAAAAAAAAACAAAAAACAAAAAAAAAAAAAAACACCACACCCCCGAAAAAAAAAACTAAAAAACAAAAAAAAAAAAAAACCTGCGTTTGAAATCACAATAGTTATAAGTGACCCGTGTCTGCTCAACGCAGTTCAGTATTGATAAAGGGCAAACTTTATACATACAGTGCAAATGATATACCTTCAATTGGAGCATCAATATCTCATCATTTAAAACCTACAATCACGAACATTGACAATCACAATTGACCGTCTCGGGGCAATTATTTCGTTTACACGTAGTGTTTGCCGCAACAATTTTAAATATTCATGAAACAGAAGAAGCAGAATCACGTACATTTTGTTTTGAGGCAGCCTTTATAAACAATTTGTTTCCACAAGTTGAAGATGGTTGGTGAATTTTTGTTGAAAAACTTTAATAAAGTATTCAAAGTAAATAACACTAGCATTATTTTATTTCAAAGATCGAGTTATTCTATATTTAAATTTATTTTGATATCTGTCGCAGCAACTGTTTGTAAACAAATAAACTGTCAAACGATTGAAGTTGTAGATACAATATTATGGAAATATTGCAAAAGTTTAAAGAGAATGGATATTTTACACCCGAACTATATCAGCTACTCTCTAAGAAAAAGCTTGGGGAAGGTTCGGAAGAAGTAAGTTCTTAGGTTAAAAAAATAAAACACTTTTGTAACCCTTGTGATTGCTATTCCCATTATTTATGTTAATTTCTCCTGCAGATTATACCATCAGAGTACGAAAAAGAGATGAGGCTGAGTACTGAGGAACGACTACAAAGTTTAAACAACGTTATTATAGATAACATTGTTAATAATCGTGAAGATAAAAAACATGCTGTTTTGTCGTTCACACCTAGAATAATTATATTTCAAAACTTTAAACCAAATGACAAATATGTTACAAAATTTTCTGTGAAGAATATAAGCAAGGTTTGTTGTGGTTGATTTATTAATTTATTTCTTATTTAATTTTACAACATCCAATCTAATAATTATGTTATAGGTCCCAACATATCTAAAAATGGTTTTTAAGGAATCTCCTTATTTCTCCATAAAGATGAATAGACCTCAACCTTTATCAAGATTGGCTCCTGGCATAAGTGCTTCGTTTATTATCACTTTTATACCAACGCTACTGGAGGATTACATCCACAAGATAACATTTTACACAGATCTGGATAAATATATAGTACCTTTGATAGGTTAGTAACTTACTCTATTTTGGATGTTCCATGTGAAAATTGATCGATATTGCACTCTGAGGATCTTTTTCTTATAGGTATGGGTCCTAGGCCAATATTTAATTTTCCTGATGAACTGACAATTCCAAAAGCACCTTTAAAAGTCGAGAGTAATTATTTACTAACTATTCGTAATGTAGGTATGGTTCCTTCCGGGTTTACTTTAGACACAAAATGGTATGTATCTATAACTTAAATTATAATATATTAACTATAAAAACATATAGCAATAATGGTCTTTTTTATTTAGCCCTTTTTCCGTACAACCTAAGTCGGCCTATCTTAACTGTGATGAACAAATTGAAATTAAAGTTTCTTTTAAAACGATGCACTTGGGCTACACACAAGAACTACTACGAGTAGTGTATGAAACAGGTACAATTCAAAATAAATTAATGCTTTAGAAAATATAAAGAATTTTAATAATTTTTGAATGATTGCAGGTGAAAAATTCATAATAAAATTGTCCGGCACGGCACATGCTGTAAGTGTTGAGTTAGAGAAGCAAATAATTAAGTTTCCCGAAACGTATAATGGCATGGTGCAGCAGCAAATATTGAAAATTAGCAATAAATCCGATTATGTCCTTACATACATGTGTATGAAGAACGAATGTGTTTACTATGGTATTTCTATTTTTTTACTAAGTAATCGATTTTTTACAAGCATTTGTATCTTCTTTATTTCACGTCAAAAATGGAGACAATGGAATAATCTTTGGGAATTTCTCTAAAAAAGGAAAATACAAATTTTGTTTTGCGTTAATTATAAGGTATAGACTGGTCATGCTGGGACGAAACCTTTTGAACATTTTGATTCTTTGATGCAATAAAACAGTACCTATATGCATTACTTTGGTTTATATGCCTGTATACACCATTTTGTGTTTATGAAGTTTTATAAATAAAAATAAATACTTTACGTGGCAGAGTCACGCTGCAGCTGCAGCTATATAATTATAGTTGTAACACGAATGGGTCGGCTCAACCGTGGTAGGAACACGCTCTCACAGTATACCATCCTAATTGTGTTTCGTATGGTGAGTGTAGAGAAACGGAGCCCCTTTTTACTTGAAACGAGGCATTACATCTTAGTCCTCAGAAGTTACAACACATCTGCATTTTGATTCTTAATCGAGGATAGATGTAGACGTGTATGGGCCACAGCTTCCACTTACCATCAGGTGGACTGTGTGCTCGTTTGTCACCCTTATGGTATAAAAAATGTTGATAAATTATATACATAACTAAAATTCTCACACCTGTCACCCAGATGTGTATGCAGACTAATTTACTTTTAAAACGATCGTGACACACCTCTTGGCAAAAATTTCTTAAACTCCTTGACTAAAATTGCATTTTACAGAAAAGTTTTTACGAAATTTTTGAATAAAATGAAAGTTATACTGTACAGAGATATATATGTCTATAAGCAAGCTTTATATAAAGAATGGACAACACCAGTAACAAACGGACATTTGTATCAAATAAAATTTGTTTCTTGTTGTAATTTTTTTAAGTAAAAAAACCGCAATATATTATGTTAGTTGCAATATGCATCATAATAATTTGGTATTTTTATATCTTTTGTCTACACTCTAATAGATTTTAAGGATAAAGTAAAACTCGCAACTGTTTTCTACAATCTGAAAGAGAGTGAAGCAGCTAAATGTGCAAAACTGGTTCGATATGATGTTCTAAGCAGTACCGAACATGAAAGAGTTTACACCAGAATATTTTGTGATGAAATACAAGCTCTAGTGGCAGACGAAACACTATATTTCCGAGATAGTCATTACTCTATATCACCCGTTGTAAGTAATTATATTGTTCAATCATTAATAGTCATCACGCATTACAAAAAATAGCTATAAATAATACAGTTGGCTTTTGTTGGCACTTGGCTACTGCAGCTTTCTGACAGTGTTAGCCCCACCATGTTTTATAATGCGGGCAGGGTTGATGGGACTAACTTAATTTAATTTAATACTTAAAAGCGCGTACAGAACCTTCATCTAAATGGAGCGAATGTGATTGTTACTGATTGCCAAACAGAGAAACAAATGCATACATTTAGTTCGAGTTCGATTGAGGTGGATAGAATATGGATAGAGATGGATAAAAATAACGTACGCACTAAAATTATTTCAATTGAATTGAATTCAAATCTCGTAAATTATATCAAATTTTCTTCAAATTTTCAAAACATCTTCAGTGACCGTAAAAAATTAGGTTTTAGTAATTGTATATTGTTAGAACAGAACGTATCTATTGAGAAAACATTATCCTATAATGTGTTTGAAATTAACAGAACTTAGAATGATAATAAATTATATTTGGATATATTTATTTTCAATACTAAGTCTTTATGTATAAAGTTATTGCGTTATGAAAAATATAGAGCTATTTGTTTATAGCACTATGATGAATATTGATCGTAAATTGTTTTTAACTCGGTAGATCTACGCTGCGGCTATAATGGCTGCAGCACGCATCTATCGGTTCGATTGGGACAGGATCACGTTTTCAGAGAATATCAGCGTGAAATAGCAGTTTAATGCTGCTGTGTTGTAGCGAACCGGAGACCCCCTTTTTACTGAAAAGGAGGCTTTCCTTTTTGGTTCAGGGGTGACAGCGCATCTGCATTTTGATTGTTAATCGAGGATGGATCTATCTATCTATGGTCTATGGGCTACGGTATCAACTTACCATCAGGTGGACTGTGTGTTCGTGTGTATTATATAAAACCTTATTTAATGATTATGATGATGGTGTGTTTTCCTGTAATTTTTAGAGAGGTCAGTTGTGGCCGAACAAGACCAGTGAAATAACTTTAACATTCTCTCCGACGCAAATAGGAGAACTGGATGCTATAGCTTATTTTGATATAGATGGTGTTGCTGATCGAATTCCTTTAAAGTTATCAGGAACTTCATTGCCTCCATCTATACATCTAAATTTGGAGACCCTTGACATGAGCTCTGTATATATTAATAAAAAATATAACTACGAAATTATCGCTATAAATAATGGTAAATATCAAAGATACCTTTTTTAATCGACTACGTAAAAGAGGAGTTTCTAAATTCAACTGTAGTTTTCTGTACGTATGTTACGCGATATCTTCGTTGATTGCGAATCGATTTTTATGATTCTTTTTATTTGAATACGAGTAGCCTATGCCTCGAAAATATTCCACGCCTAAGGATGGATAATAGAGATGAAATTTATAATGGAACTATATATGCGACGTTAAAAGTGTCACCTTGAAATTATGTTGTTGCTTAGTCCACTCAAAAGTGTCAAATAGTTGCAAGAACTTTTGTAACAAGGTTGAATGGAAAACACTACAAAGAATGAACATTTTTTACATAATTTAATTTTAATTTATCGACACATAAGAATGTGTAGATAAATTAATTGAAGAAACATCTTCAATTAATTTTTTGTCTGTAGAAGTCGGTTTTACTTTTTAAAGGGTAATTAAAAAATATGAGACATGCCCTCTGCCCTGCTCTTGAACATTTTTAGTAACTTAAATACAAAATACAATCTTGGTTTAATTTTTGTGAATAATTGTTATTCTTTTTTAATTTATAAACAAGTAAAATATTTTTATTATAAACAAAAGAAATTTTAGGTATTTCTTTTGTTTATAATAAAAATTAAAAACTAATTCCAGTGAAAATCTTTACAGGA